CCAAAAATATGTCATAGTCAAAGAAATCCTAAGAGGTATGTCACCTGACCTTATTGCTTGTAACACTAGAAAATTTTGTTCGAAATGCCACAAACCATTTTCTAGGATCCATTTCATACCAATAACATCATAGAAAGTAAATAAATACCGTCAATTTCTTTAATCAAAACACCCCTACCTGAGTGTCCAAAAGTCATACCTTCCCTAAAAATCTGAAATTTAACCACTTTTTGAGTGATAAGAATTACTACTAGGGCAGAGCACGGGTCGGGTTCGGGCGGGTCGGGTTCAAAAATGGTAAACCCGTTCGGGTATCGAATTGATAATTTCAAACCCTACCCTATCAAAAAATTTATCGGACTTTTCGTGTTGAAGAAATCCGGGTTGCGGTCGGGTTGATATGGTTTTTGGGTCCATTCGGATTTTAATTTATTATTGTTGAAATTGTGATAAATAAAATGATAATTGGTAAAAATATCATTCAAAGTTATACTAGCATAACATTCAAAGTAATAGTTGTATAAATACGGTAATTGACATATTTGAACATGTAAGATAATAATATACGGTGATTGCCATATTTGATATTGTGATAAACAAAATGATAATTGGTCAAAATATCATTCAAAGTCATAACAATACAACATTCAAAGTTATAGTTGTACAAATACGGTAATTGGAATATTTGAACATGCATAATATGATAATTGGCATACAATAATTGAGATATATATGAACATGCATAATAATTCAACGTAGTATATGATAGTATATACTACGCTAGTTCGGTTTTTCGGACGGGTCAGGTAGCATAATTGGTAACCCTACTCGCTACCCGCTTAAGTCTCGGGTTGCAAGAATCGGATCGGGTATGGGTATTTCGGGTCGGATTTTCCGACCCAAACAAAAAAATCGGATATATCCGATCGGGTCAGTCGGGTTTGCTCTCCCCTAGTTACTACCGGTCAAAAAACCACTTGAGCTCCTTCTCCCCCCTCGATAGGGGCGGAACTAGCAAGGGACCTAGAGGGGCTTGAGCCCCTGCAGTTTTTTTTATATTTATTATATATATATATTAAATATAAAATTTAAATTGTAAATATTTATAAAGTTTACATATTTTACATGAATAACGCACATGTCAATAAAAGTGATTGCAGCATAGTGGGTGTGGGATGGCTTCCGTGTCCTCTCTTTACGAAAAGGGCTGGTGTTCAAATCCCATGCAACAAACCATTATTTTTTACTTGACTTGTCTTTTTTTAAGTTCTAAACTAATTTAAAACTACTATGTTTTGCTTTAAACTAAACTATTATGTTTGGCTTGTTTTAACTACCCTAATATAATTACTCTGTATAATTTACTTTTTTGCATATAATTTTTGAAGTTTAACAGTTATATTGTTGCGCTTAATATATATTTAATTTTAATATAGTTGTTGTGCTTAGTATATATTTATTTCTAATATACTACTGAATTCGCAACTTAAGTTAATTCTAATAACATATTTGCTTCATTCCTTATTTGGTTCTTATTGTTTACATAATTTTTGAAAATTATAAACCGTGCGTGTAAAAATTATTTTTAGTAAGTAAAATTTTATCTGTCATGAAATTTTAAATTATGACACCGTAACACTTTTCCCATAAATATTTGGTTATTTATAATTTATTTTACACTATTTTTTAGAATAAAATATATATGTAGTTATATTCTAGACGTTGGACGCAACAACTTTTGAACGGTCTAGAGTACGTAGCATCGCAATGACGACACTTCCTCCCGTCGTGGCCCGCCATCCTAGAGATTGGAATTCCAGGGCCAGCCGGAGACCTTGGCTTTCCTATTAAGTGCCCCTCGTATGTCCCTGAGCTGGTTCCGCCACTGCCCCTCAAAACTACTCACATCATCAAATACTCTAGTGTAAATTTTTTATATTGGTCCTCTAGGTAAACACCCCCAGACCGAAGTTCAGAAATGCTGCCCTGCCAAAAGAAAACTGCAGCCGCACCCCAACTCCTATAGAAATGAAAACTAGCGAAAGCCATCAACGATCCTTAAAGTACATTTGTACAATGATCATCAGCTTGGGCGAAACTTTTAAGTTATTATGTCTCTCTCTGTGTTTGCGTAATTGCGTTTGTATATGATAAGCTCAACGAGATATTGTGTTTATTTGCATGATATTTATAAGTTAAATTATTTGCAGGCCACAAAGTAATAATAAACCATCAAAGTGAAATAATCAATTGGACATCTAAGAAATTTATTATATCATATGAAAGTGTTGGTGATTAATTAATTGCGGTTTTGAGAAATATTTTAGTCTAATGAGTATAGAGAACTTGATTTTTCGAGTAAAAATTCGAATGTTTGATCATGCACTGCTATCAGTTTGTGGTGTTTTACACCAACCCAAAATTTGTATACAATTAGATGACATTTTTCTAATGCATTTATTGAATAACTTACAACACTTTCCTTATCCAACATCATTACAAACTACAAACTAGGGATGTTTTTACTTGGACTGTAATTTGCTGGTCTGGTTTCTTTGTATTTTTATAACAATCCAATTCTGGTCTGGTCTGGTCTAATCTGGCTTGGTCTGTTCTGGGAGGAATTACAGTCCAAATAAAAACATCCTAGTACACATCTAATACGGGTGATTTCTCAATTTACGGGAATACATTACATGAGTGGCCAAAATACGGGATCTTTTTTGCTTTTTCTGAAAACACGGGAAACGTGTTTGTCTAATCCGAAAATATTAGGTTCTAAATGTTCACCTTGGAAAAGCTAAAAAAACGAATTCCAGGAATCCGAAATTTGATTTTTATTTTTTTTAAATGCTACTTACGTACGTCTTAGTTGACTAAGTTGAGTAGGTTTTTTTAAAATGATTTCTTAGTTTATTTAGATGGTTTGGTTACATATTTTTAAATAGGAAAACAAAAATAATTTAATAAAAAATTGTTAGTGGGTTTGATTGATTAAGATAATATGTACAAATATAAATAAACTTAAAGATATTTGTAGTTGGAGGGGAAAATGTCATCGTGATGGCAATTTTGAAAAGAACATTGGATATTTTCACAAAGGAAAAGTATCATCTTCATGGCATTTTCAGAAAAATGTGTCATTTTTTACACAAGATGACATTTTTTTTTCGGCGATTGGAGGTTGTGGTGTTGGGAGGCGGTGGATGTGAAGGTAGTGGCCTACATATTTTTTTCGGTATTTTATTTTAATTTTTTAAATTTTTTAAGTTTTTTAAATATTTTTTATTTTTTTGTTTTAATTTTGTTAATTTTTTAAACTTCTTTTATTTTTTTCCTGATTTTTTAAAAAAATTTATAATATTTTACGATTTTTTATGTTTTATCCTCCTCCGACTCATATTCATTTCATTTGTAAATTAAATCCGGTCCTTTTAATCTGAGGCCTACCGGTTTTGTTGTGTCTAGGCTAGCGCTTTGAGTCGATATCACTAATTTGAGGCCTACCGATTCAAATGATTGTATCACCATCACCATCATCTCCATCAAAATCATCATCACCACCATTATCATCATCACCATCACCATCATCATCACTATCAATATCACAATCACCACCACCACCATCATCATCACCATCACCACCATCACCATCATTATCTTCATCACCACCATCATTTTCATCAACAACATCACCACCATAATCATCATCATCGTCACCATCATCATCACCACAATCACAATCACCATCATCATCATCATTTCTAGAGTGAACATCTATACAAAAATCGGAAGGTTTGGATTGTTTTATCAAAAATCATTGTGCTTGATAAAGATGGAAACGGATTAGCCTAATCCGATATTCAAAAGGATCTGACACCTTTTGTTGCTCCAGACCAACTCTCAATCCAAAAGAAATAAACCTACAAGTCGGATTCCTCTAATCCGAAATTGGAATTCTTCTGACAGCTTCTGCGTCCAAAGTGAAAAAACCGGATAAATCCTACAAAGTTCGGATTACCCTACCACGTTTCCCGTAATTTCATACCATAAATCTGACATTCATATTTTGGAAATGGATTACCCTACCACGTTTCCTCCATCTAATACAATAGAAATTATAATCTTTAGAAATTTATATACCGTCTTTATTAATCAGCATACGTTATGATCCTACCCTGCATCAACAAGTATAAAAAGCTGTCCTATTTGTTTTTCATTACCACTATAATTAAAATAGCACTTTTTTTAGTGCTACCTCATTAACTCTTAGCTTTGTCAATTATTCATGTTGTTTTATAATTTTGTGTCTTTTTCATTTTCTCATTAAAGTGACTAATTTATCATTTTTATTATTTCTAAATGTTCTTCAGCATATGACAACCTAAACTACACAGTATTTTTACTTTCTTATTTGGTGTGCCCACTAAACTTGGTGATATTATAAAAATGAAAATGAGTAACAATCATATACATTTCTATTGAGTATAACCAAACATTCCAGTTCAGCTGATTAAGAGGTTACCGTGTCTAGTGGGAAATCTCGAATTCAAAACCCGTTAGACACATAAGAGTTTGAAACGCGTTAGCCCTGGTTATTCCAGGCGTCTCAACCCCCTCCCCCAGCCCCCTTCCCCCAGACTCTCCTGGAGTGAAAAAAACATTTCTATTGAGCATTGTATTGTTTATTCCTATTAAATTTAAATTTAAATTTAAATGAATTACGCTTTATTATTCAGAAATGCAAAATAGGTTCAAATTTTGTATTTTCCGAGTTTTCTTGTGTCTCAACTCAGTTCTCCAGATAAGATGTCATAATTCAAATTCGAATTTCGAAATTAAGAGCGTCCCAAATGAGGCCCACCCCAACGAGCCGTTCCCTTTTTTCTTTTCCTTTTAAAGAAAAAAAATCATCACTCACATTTCCCGCCCAATTGCCAACTGGCACCGTTCTGTTAACCGCACTCTCGTTCACCATATATATGTACGCAGAACATGTACGAAATCGCCTTCAGTAACCCTCTTCGTTTCTGTTCTGCGCAATTCTCTCACTAAATTTGAATTCACATTTATCTCTCTAGAAGTCTCGGAGATCATCTATGGAAGAGGCCACCAAAGAACAGTTGTCTGCTTCAGGTAACGGTCTTGACTCTTTGCGTTTACGAAAAGATGTAATCTATCTTGTGTGTATGGGCGCTTGTATGACGGTTAGGGTTTTCGTTTTTACTGTTTTGCAGCCAGTGCTAAGCGATCAGCTACGAGGCTGCTTCGGTATCCGCTGCGATCCGCTGGAAAGGTGAAGGAGGAAAAGCCGCCCCTAGCCGATTCCTTTAACTCGTCTGCTACCAGAAGGTTTATCAATGTCTTATTCAAACATTTCTCTGCTAACTGTGTGATTGTGCATACGTCTGTTGGGTTGTAGATTGTGGTAATAGAGTGCGATTTTACAATTCAGTATAGTTCCATGATCGATCAGTTTCTTATCACCATAAGATGGGCTTCTCGCTGATAACTGAAAATTGAATGGTCTTGCACCCTAGCTTTTATGATCTTTGAGTTCTTGTACATTTCCCCCTTTTATACGAGTATTACTTATTGCATATTGTTACCTAGATCACCCCTAAAACTAAACAAAACAAAGCTTAAAAACTAAATTAAAACTGCTTGAACAAAATAAGGGAGTATTTGCGATTGCTTCTATTTAAAATGTGATGATTTAGGGTATGTTTGGCACAACTAGCTGAAAAGATACTTTTATATGCTTTTTAGTAACTGTTAGTTTTTAGTGACTGAAAAGATCTTAAAAAGAAAAGGCAGTAGCTGTTTGGTAAAAAGCAGACTATTTGATTTAGCTCTGCTTGGTATACAAGTTGTTAGGACTAATTAATGCTAGAAGTTACAGACTTATCTGAGATGCTACTCATTGTAGCATCTCAAAAAAGATCTTTTATTTTTATAAAAGCTCTTAAAAATTAGCGTGCCAAACATACAACTAGAAGTTTTTAAAGACTTTTTTAATAGTACAAAAGCTAGAAGGCAGGAACTTATGCCCGCCAAACATAGCCTTAAAGTGATTTTAGAGAAAGCTCTTAATAGTAAAAGTTGGTAGTGTTTAGAAAAAATGCCTTTTAAAAATTAAAAATTGTTAGTGTTTGTTAAAATGTGTTTTTTGTGTAATATATAAGTGTTGAAGCATACCATACCTACTTAAATTTAAGCAGAAGCTGTCAATTTAAAATAGTAAAACACCCCTTTTGGCTTTTTTAAGTCAATAACTAAAATTCTTTCTACAAAAAAAGTCGAGAACTATTTTTTTTTTGAAAATACTCCCTAAGAACTTTAAGATTGGTGGATGCTTGCATCGTTTGATACTACTCAATGTCTATTTGTCCTCAAGGCTGTTTTATTATATATGCTGCCCTGTTCACTCATAAAACAAAGCAAAACTAAAAATATTATTAAATAAACCCATGAATTTGGGAGTTGTTGCTTACTACTAGCCAAGTCCGTTTGACATTTATTTTGTTTTTGGACTGAACTCATACATTTAATCAGACTGTGATGTTTGACGATGTTTACACGAGAACTCAAACTAAAGTAACCAAAAGCAAGAGGTTTTGGCTTCTATTTCCATTTGGTAGTATTATGTGCATTTTTGGCTTCTATTCACACACACACTATAGGATTTATTCTCTCTTCAAGTGAATCGTGTCAAAGGTTAAAGTGTCTTTATTTTTAGTATAATAATTAATTGCATATTGATACCAACATGTGTCTGCTTCTTCAACTACAAATGCTTAGGATAAAGCCTGGACCATCAGTGAGCAAGAGTATAAGTGTCCTTGATCTCAACCATAGCAAGGACAGACCTGCTAAGCCTCCAAGAAGGATGTCTAACCCCTCCAACTCAGCTGGCAGTCCAGCTGCTTCAGCACAAGCTGGAAATGTCACTCCGATTTCCGAGGCTACTAGATCTAAAAGGTCTAACCTTGGTAACAATGAAGGGAGAAGTGATACCCCAACACCCTCGGATGTTTCCAGGTCTTTAATCCGAAGGAAGTTCAGTGTTATATCATCAGCATCATACTGGCTAACTCAGATCAAGCTGTCTGAATCTGCTGCAAAACACTCCATTTCCCTTGGTTTTTTCAAACTTGGCTTGGAAGCTGGATGTGAGGTATGCGAATACATAATGTTTTCCTTTAAAATATCTAAAACAGTGAACGAAGTAATAACTTTTAATAGTCCTAAAAGATAAAATGGATTTGGTTGAATGCACATCCCCAACTGCTTTAACTAATTATAGAATAGCACATTTTATTAGCATCAATACCCAATTTAGGGGGTGTTTGGAATTGATTCTGCTTCTGCTTCTTTTCTAAAGTAGAAGCAGGATCAGAATCAATTTTCAGAAGTTGTTCTTCCCCACCTTCTAAAAAAACTGCTTCTAGGAGTACATTAGAGCACCAAAAGTACTTATGCACTTTCACCCAAACACTCTAACTTCTGCTTCTGCTCCCTGAAGAAGTAGACGCAGTTTTAAGAATCAGATCTAAACACCCTATTAGTTCATCATTAACTAGCAAAGTTGGAATAAAATTAGTTTTATACATATGCAGCTCTAAATTTGGAATATATTTCTCCCTATAATTTAGATCCAATTCAATACCCATTATATGAGATACCCTTTTAACTTTGAAGCGACATAGGCTAAATGGAACCAAATTCAGTCAAAAATTCTAGAACCAAACTGAGTAACAGTGTATCATTTTATACATCGTATTATCTCATCTCACACCCACCACATATAAAAATACAAACTAGCATCTAATGTATGGGCTTATCCTCTTATAAGGGTGCTATCTTATGATGAAAACCTGAGTATTAGCCTATATCAGTAATGGGCTCACAAACTACAAGATTGTGTCAATCCTATCAGCCACCATATCCACTCGCGTAGAGAAATACAAGTTAACATATAAAGCCTTGAATTATTTATAATATTTACATTTTAGTATGGAAATCTGAGTCTTAACGATTAACTCATTTAAGTGTTCTGTTTTGAGAAACTAGTTCGTAATTGTTAATGGTACAGATATTATTGACTTTCTTTGACTTTATGTGCGCATACTAACAATTTTATTTGTTGTTATTTTAAATATGGGTTATATGTATGTAAAAATTAGCCTCTTCAGTGCATGAGGGATGAGCTTAGAGCATATGCCCAACGACATAACCTTGTTGAACTAGGAGAGTCTGTGAAGCAATTGTTCGAAAGCTATAAAATCTTACCAGACTTTGAACAGTTGCAAGTGTCTGAAACTTGCTCGCATGTTCTTGATGAAGAGGTAACACGATCTTCGGATGATGAGATTCACAGCAGATCTTCACCCGTAGCAGGGGCGGTGGATTCTGAGAAGCAATTGGGGTCGCATAAACCACCTTCCTCCACCACTAGGCAGGCTGCTGTTGTTGCTGACCAAGCAAAGGATGCATCTAGATTGAAGAGTGAGACTGGAACAAAGAAGCAACAAAAGCCCATAAAGAAAGAAGCAGGAATTAGTGGTCGCAACAACGTGCAAAAGAAGATACAGAAAATGCCCATCAAGAAGAATGAGCCAACAAAGGGTAAGGTCAAAGTGCAACAGGGTAAGAATAGTGTGGCTGAAGAAGAGATTATTAAGGATGTTCCTGTACCAGAGAAATTGCTTGAGGAAAACAAAGAAAACACGGATGCGGCCCTTCAGATGGAAGAGATCAGTTGTGTGGAAGAGTGAGTAGGAAGTTGATGAATAAAGGCAAATAACAATAGTAACATAAACAATATATTGTTTCTTTGATGGTTCTGGATTGGCAGCTAGCTGTCTCTTATGATGAGAGTTAGCGGTACAATGGATCATATTTCATGTGGCATTTACTTACAGCTTTGTGCTTTCAAGAGTACTTTGCTTATCTCATGGTGTCGTCAAGCGTATATAGTTTGTTTGTTTGGAGGAGTTGGGTAAGATGTTAACAAGATGTTAACACTGCAAGGAATATCTTCAAGTATAACTTTTTCTGTTCTCTATTGCGTGCCCATTAAGCCAAATGAACCTTTTGCCTTAAGCAAGGATTTCTAATCTAACCTTTTGCCATAACGAGGATTTCTAGTTATTGTGTATTCCAAAAATACATTTCATTTACTATTAAAACGTCCATGAAAAGAACATTTTACATTGAATTAGGGAGCTAACCAAGCTAGCTGACCCGGAAGTTACTCGAGACCATTATTTCGGATTTGGAGATAATTAGGTCTGATTTCTGGACTATTATTTGGCAAGGGATGTTTCTAGTTTTGGGCTAGTTAACCTAGTTTAAATTTTACGGGCTTAATTGATACTCTCTCCGTCCCTTAAAACTTTACCATCTTTTCTTTTTTTGACGTTCCAAAAAACTTTGCCACTTTCCCTTTTAATCATTTTTTTTGTGGTTTCTGTTATTTCTCTCTCCTCTGCACAAACCTCAATCACACAGTTTTTATTTTATTATTCTCCGTGCCGGTCAACTTTGACAAAGTTTTAAGGGACGGATGTAGTATCTAATACTACTTCCGTCCCTCTTATATTGGGTCGGAAGAGAGTGACACGATTATTAAGAAAAGTGGGGTTGTGTGGTTGATATTAATTAATAAAGTAAGAATAAAGTAAGAATGATTTTGAACCACACAAACTTTACCAAATATGGTATGAGACAATTTTAGTGGGACTTTCCAAAAAGATAAAACGGGAGTATATTGTTAGAGGGCCTTATTGACTAACAATATATTGTTAGAGCCCCTAATTGACATACAGTATGTTGGGAATGTATGTTGTAGTGAATCTTATTGGATTTGTATACTTCGTTGGCATGAACACAGTCCCAGTCCAATTAGATGAGGTGCGTAAAAAGAATCTCCAACTTAATAATTTTTTTATGAAAATATTAGTGGGAAAAAGTCATAGTTAAGGGGGAAAAGAGTACACTTTATGATTTAGTTGTATTTGGATGTAAATCTCACTATAAAACATTATCACGAAAAACACATTGCGGTAAAGATTTGGAAAAAAATGAAGTACATTTAAATATTCCCCTTAACTCTGCATAAATTTGTAGGTAACACATGCCTATTTTATGTACAAGCTTAATAAATTTCCTTGGGGGTAAAGATTCGATGAAGAGATCAGCTGGGTCTGATACGTTGAATGTTAATCTTCCTTTCTTTCTCTAGATCGTGTAGAGTTTTTTTTGGCCGAATCTGATACGTTATCTCTTTTGATGTAGCCTTTCACCTAAGTTATGCAACTTTGTTCTCTGCTTCATAGAAACTTTGTTGTCTTCACAGATCATACTAGCTTGACAAGTAAGTGGTTTCACGCCACATTTGTTCTCAATGTGTTAAATTATAGATCGCAATCACACACACTCTTCCTATTTCATATAGGGTGATCAACTCGGCATGATTTGATGATTGTAGCTGTTAATGTCTGCTTCATACATTTCCGCAAGATTGCAGTATTGCCATAAGTGAACACATATCAAGTTTGTGATTTTGCCTTTTGAGGATCTAATAAGTATAAAATAATTTGCATATCCGATTAAGGTGACTTTTGTATCTTTGTGGTAGAATAATGCTGGTCAACTGCACCACCAACATAACAAAGTATGTGTTTGATTCTGTTCCAATAATGCATTATTGAAGAAAAAAACTGTAGGAAAAACTGTCAAATAAGCTCTTCAAATGTTCCAAAATAGTCTATTACGCTGTCTAACTAAAAAACACCAGGTCCAGCCCGCAAAGTTGGAAAAAACTTTCAATTCGCTAAACTAACCGGTTAACACCCGATTATTCACTTAAGAAAGTAGTGTGGCGGTTTATGTGGCATTGCTAATCATGGTCATTTTTACTTAAAAAGGCACTTGGGTATTAATATGGTTGTACAACAGTCACCTTTCCCAAACAAAATTTTACCCTTATTTCCACAAATGGTAACCTCCCCTAATCCTTTACCCAGTTACGCTAACATCTTGTATGATCAAAATCACTTCGAACAAAGTACGCAGGGTACAAACACGTGTATAACAATGTAAGACCTTTTATTTCGTCTTCATCGTAATACTATGTAATGGTGTGTACTTTGCATTTTTAGGGGTGTTTGAATCTACTTCTTAATACTGCTTCTTCTCTTTTAAGAAGCAGAAACAGATATTGGAGTGTTTGGTGAAGTGCAAAAGTACTTCAGGGAACTCCAAAATACTCATACAAGCAATTTTTAGAAGATGGAGGGACTAGCTTCTAGGAAACTGATTCTGGTTCTAAATTGCTTTTAAAAAGAAGCAGAAGCAGAATAAACTCCTAACACCCCCTTAAAATAAACCCCCCCCCCCCCCCCGGTCCTAAATAAAGTTCACACTTTCCTTTTTGGGCCGGTCCAAAATGAAGTTCACACTTCTTCTCCCTTCCAAAATGAAGTTCACACTTCTACATCAAAACAGTGCCAAACAGTGTCACCACAATGTGCTCTACAGTAAAGTCAAATTTATTTCATTAATTTGTGTGAAGTCAAACACTGAACTTTATTTAGGACCGGAGGGAGTATGTGAATGAGAATTTGTGTTTCGACTTGTTGGATATGGCCAAACGTGTAGTAACACATGAATTCATGCCTATTGTGTTTCATTTACATGTGAAAGGAGCATGGAATGTAGTGTGTGCTTATTGAGGTGTGTTTACAAGTGTTTGATAAATATGTACAAATGAATTTGCATTGGTTAATTACTTAAGAATTGTTTATATATATGACATGATTGACATAGTTGCACACATTATTCACCATGGGGGGACTTTCATTAAAAGTCCTAAGTGTATGTACAATGTGGGTGCGGTGGTTCTGTGATGATAGACCCAAATTTAATATCTTACCTACATCTCTTAAAGTTTTGAAAAGAAGGTCGTATAGAAATATTCAAGAGTTGTACTTTAGAAAACCAGAGCACCCTATGGAGCCTTGCATAATCTATTCAATGATGACTCTACTATCGATTTAATAGACATGGCAATGGAATGTGGAACATGTGACATCTTTCTACATCATAGTATAGATGAATTGGAATTGGTGGAGTGGCTCCCTTTACCTGCACCAACCCAAGAAGCATACAGGAGAATCCAACTCACAATTACATAATGCCAATGATGAAAGGGAATTAAAACTAGGAATGCTCAAGTATAATACTATGTAGCTATGTTATTACCGAATTTTGATAGATTTTGATGATGTCACTATACTCTGCACGTGTACATTGTGTCTTATAAAATGACATTTAAATTTGAGTGACAAAAACAAATGTACAATTTTTGAGACTAAAGAAATATTACCGGAAAAATAAAAATGCAATAAGGTAATTTTTATTTACCTTAATAGGATATTTAGATCCTATCGGCATATATTATTTAGCTCAAAGATTAATTAAATGTCACATGTTATAAGCTAGAAAATCATATACATTGAATGTATATGATTGAAGACAAAATTTGACTAGCATTGAATGCTAAATTTGTACTGGGGTCCGGAGCATTGAAGACACACACATGAGATTATTTTTTGAAGAAATGTTCCAGCGGCTAAAAGATTATTGAAGATAAGAGAATCGCCGCATTAAAAGCTCCAACACAAAAAGACAAATGTACAAGTCGTCCGTGTCAACCTTCAATGAACAGGATTAATCCATCCTAACCAACGAATGAGATTAATCAACTGGAGAAGCCTATAAATATAGGCTGAAACAAAAGTTTCAGCCTATATTTATAGGCTTCTCCAGTTGATTAATCCATCCTAACCAACGGATGAGATTAATCAACTGGAGAAGCCTATAAATATAGGCTGAAACAAAAGTTTCTAACCAAGCCTGAGCATCCTAAGTAGAGAGATATTTCTATTGAGCATTCACGAAATATCTAGCAAAAGAGAAAGTGTTATTCTATACATTACTCTCTACTTAGACTCTTGCTTCACTAAACTTCTTAGTCTCAAGTCTTAATTGCTAAATCCTAGAAGTTTAGTTCCTAGTTGGAGGTTAGAACTTTCTTGTAACCAAATCAGATATTGTTGTAAACACTTCAGGAGGACAGCTGTTCGCGGCCTCAGTGTGGTTAGATAGGTCAGGAGTACCTTTTGATCCCCACTGGATCAATTGAGAAAAACCTAAAGGATTGAGTAGCTTGGAGTGGTGTTGTACTCCTCGTGAAACACCTTCAATCTAAGTCAGAGTTGTCAAGGCTAGATTGGCACTAAGTGTATTGGGCTTAATACATTAATGAAATCCATTTGAAATAGGATGTGACTGGATGTAGGAGGATTACACCACCTCTGAACCAGGATATACTGTGTGTTGATTTATATTCAGTCAACAAAGCACACACTGAACACTTCTCATAAAAGATTGTAGTTTGCCAGCAGCATCCTAATCCGTAGTCTTAACTTGTAACACCGACCCCGAGCATACTTACTTTTAGTAAATTATGTAATAAACCTTGAAGAATGATTTAAGAAATTGCGTGATTGTAAATTTTTACTATTTCTTTTACGTGAATAGTAAATTGCATGTGGGGCCCACAGCGGGAACGGGGACCGCCCGATAATTCCCGAACCACATATTATATTCATCTTGGTCTAGATAATATGTATATGGTGGTGGATAATTTATTGGGCCATAAGAAAGGCATGGAGTTGACCGGTTGGTCAAACGGGGCCCAATTACCGGTATTGGTAATTTAGCGGATAACAGCCCGAAATGAGTTTCGGAGACTCCAAAATTGATGTTGGGGAATGTACATCTATTCTAAAGGCCCATAATCTTTGGGAACACGTCATATATTTTATTTGGTCCGATAAAATAAAATATAATTAAAACGGACCGAGAAATACAACTTTCGAGGCCAATTGTACACACCGGGACATAACTGGATGATCTCCCACCTAAGTGGGAGCCACCCCACGTTTTTAGGTGGGA